GTTATAGAAATATATGTATGTATAGAAGAATTTATGTTTAGTTTATTTTTTGATGGAATAAAAAAGCTGTAGGGTTTTCTTTTTTCTTTTTAATATTTTGTTACGAACGTATTTGAGGTATTAAAAGTTGTGTCGATTTTCATTTCAACCAACGCCTGTGCAGTGTGAAAACAATAAAAATATACACATATTACCACAACATACACACATATATTCTACCTGGTGTAAACAAAATCTATCTATAAAAAAAAGTATTCACTTCAAAATTCATTCATCAAACAAATTTTTGCGGTAAGAAATTTTTTTTTCACATTTACAGAAAATATAATTACCGCAAATTGAATTAAATGCTATCTACAATATAAAAAAAATATTTCATTTAAATAATCGATTATTAGAATCAAATAAATTTTATTTTTTCAGTGTATTATACTGATTTTCATATATAAATAATAATTATAATAATAAAAGTTCTGAATCAGAATATAATAAAAAGTATTGAATTATTTTTCTGTAATGCTGAACAAGTGTAAATTAGATATATATATATATGTAAGAAAATTGAAAAGAATTATTCAGAAGGCAAAACTTTTAATGATATAAAAACTAAACTCTCCAGAAGAAAATAGGCATTAAAACTTTTGTATAACTTCTTTTTCAATCCTTAGTAATATATTTTTCTATTCCCCCCCCCCCCCTCCACGGTATATAACTACGTAATACAGCTTATATTTTAGTTGGAATAAATTGTCATATTTTTTTTTCTTTTTATAATGAACGCAAGTTCTTTTCTATTTTTAAATTATTATTTATTCTACAAGGTTTTTTTTTAAATTGTCTATTAATTAATTTATTTAATAAGTTCTATATTTATAGTTTAATTTCTGAGTAATTTCATATATATATATATATATATATATATATATATATATATATATATATATATATATATATATATATTTGTTTTGAGAATTATATAAACGAAATATTAAAATCTTTTTCTGCAAATATGATAATCTCTCTCAAGAAAATTCGTGAGAATTAATAGACTATCTAAAATGGATTATCACCCCTTGGTTTATAGTTGAATGCATGATTTCCATGAATTTGATGACTATTGCAGTTTAGGACTAGTGAACTTAATGTCCTTCGAGGATCCTGGTTATGTGTGATTACTATTAATTTAATGACTCTCCAGATTTGCTTTGCATAGTGTTAGGGACATACTCATTTTGCTCGAAATACACACACATTTATTTAATTTTTTCCGCATGAATTAAAAAAGAAAAATTTCACGGAAAATTATAGTTTTTTTTTTTAATTCCAATCAGATTTAAATTATTTCAAAATTTTTATTAAAATTTAATTTTTCTAAAATTTTAATTATAATTTAATTTATTTATATAAATTGAATACAATAAAATTTCTATAGAGTGATATTAGAATTTATTATTATTATTATTATTTATTTTTATTCTATTTCTCTTAATGTTTATTAAAATTTTTTAAATTTTAGGTAATTATTTATTAAAATTTCATTTTCTAATTTAAATATTAATATCTAGGTATATAAAAATATTATCGTGTTTATAAAATTTTTAAAAATTGTAGTTGTTTATTAAAATTTTAATTAAAATTTAATTTTCTAATTTAAATATTAATATCTATAGAAAATATAATCGTGTTTATTATAATTTTCTGTGATTTCAATGTTCCTCAGCCTGAGCATATATATATATATATATATAAACCATTGTTTTACGGGCTTAAATTCATTTTAAATTAATTGGATTGCTCGTCTGACCATTCACGGGCTTTTTCCCTTATTCACGTTCCTTTCATTATACGTCTGCATTTCTAAAGTCTGACCATATTCTGAGCTTACTACTTACTCGTGATATTTACCTTTCTATGCCTGCATGTCTGATTAAACTCGCGCATTTCTACTTATATATATATATATATATATATATATTCGCAGAACTCTAATACACGTCTATTAAACTTTTATCTCTATGTATGCAAATGTCGACGACGTTATATTGACTTTTTCACTTTATATTGATATTATATTTATCTCATTCAAAATTTTAAAAGCGGGAAAATAAAAAATTTTATTTAAACTCCTAAAAATGCCGTTATTTTTGAAAATACTATAATAATATTTTATTTTTATAATTTTATATTCAAAATAAATTTAAAAAAATTATAAATAAAGGTAAAATATATAGAAAAGAATATATATTTAATAAAAAAGGGTGCTTTTATTTTTTGAACACGTGGCTGTATTTTATCAATAAATGTCTGAGTGGATATTGACATTTCCACTTATTCTTAGTAAAAATGTGCTTGTGCCTCTAAGTCGATTGTCTGACCACATATGGACTTTTCTACTAGCGTCTTCCTAATCTTATTTATTGTGCTCCATTTTCCTATACGTATGTTTTTTCCCCTTTTTTATTCGCATACCCTTCCACCTCCAAAACATTATTTATATACGTATATTTCACCATAAATATTTTACACTCTAAATCGCATTTTTTTTTTGTGAAATATAAAACAATATAAATAATTCAAAATTGTATTATATATATTAAACAGATAAATTTAATTAATTGTATATATGCATCATGTAATATAAATTTATATTCGATTAAATATAAAATTTATATGATATTTATTCCACGTACTTTTCTGCGATTATTCGCGTATTATATAATTCTTTTATTGATGGATCGACATTTATGTCCCAACGCCCGTATAACGGCATTAACTATACTTGTCAACATCTTTCATTTCCTATTACGTCTGACCACAATCGGGATTTTCTACTTGATTAAATTCCTACATCACTTCTCTTTCTCCCCCCCCCCTCTCTCTCTCTCTCTCTCTTTCTCTCACTATGGATTTGTGCAGCTTTTATATATATGTGAATAAAACACGCAAATAAAAATATGAATAAGTGAAAAATAAGAAATAAATATAAAAGAATATCTGAGTGAAAGGAAACAATAAATATAAAAGAAAACACGAGTGGAAAACTAAATATAAGAAGCGAAAAAAAAAGGAAAACAAAATTTGAATAAAATAAAGATAAAATGTCAAATATAAAAAAAAATCCTATTAAATAACAAAATAAACAATACTATAAAATAACAAAAATAAATAAATAATCCTATAAAATGATAATAGAATAAAATAATCATAAAAGAAGATATATTTTTTTAAACTCGATTTTCCACCTTCAATTTATAGAAAAGTAGGGGGAAAAAAAAAATCTATATAAAATGGTAGAGGAAACGATGACAAATATACGGGATGTTACAAATCTTTAAGAAGATCGTACCAAAAAAAAGGGGAAAAAAAATTTCCACTAAATTTTATACCTTCAATCTGAAGTCCAAGGAAGTAAGTGAAACTCAAATCACAAGTCGAAGATGTTTTTTTTTACCTCCTCTTCACTTCACATACACACACACAGACATATACAAAAAAAAGCTAGGTTAACTTTTGCTGCGTCTCGTCTTATATACTTTTCCGGTTTCAATTGCAGCCGTTGCACCATGTAGCTACTTCATAAAATTTCTTCCCTTGCTACGGGACGAAAAAAAAAACATATACCTCTTTTTTAAATGAAAAAAATGATGCGCTTCAAATAGCGCAGGTCAATACATCACTTACAACCTGCGACTGAAAGACAAGTTTTTCAAAAAATGAAAAACAAGAAGAATTTAACGAAAACTTTTTTATACCCAAAAAAAAGAAGAAGGAGAAGGTTTTATATAATTTGATAAAAATGATGGATTGTTATAAATTGCGAGTTTTTTTTTTTTTTTTTAGATAAAAGCACAAACAAAATTTGTCCATAGATTTCGAATCGGAAAAATCTATCACTTTCACTCTGACATGATTATATCAGAGTAGAAAAGCCAGACGAATATAAAAATAAATAACAAGTCTCTATTATATTCAAATAAAAATTTAATAATTTTTATTTAAATATTTATCAAAATAATAAATATTATTTCAAATATATTTAATTGAAATGATAATTGTTTTATATAGTGATAATATTTAAAAATAAAAATAGAAAAAATTTGCCCAATCAAATGAGACTATTAACATATTATTATATTGAAAATTAAATGAATGCAGGTGTAAATGTATGATAAGTGGTTTTATATTCACGACACAGATGGCTTTAATCGCCTTGGGAGAAAATAGGAAACCTAGCGGAGAAATCGATAGATTATCGAATTTATATAAACCTATACACACACACACACACACACACATATTATCAATAAAAATAAAATTTGAAAAGGAATAGACGCGAGTGTAAATATTTGATAAGTAAAAATATATCATTGTTTCGTCAGACACATATATATCGAAAGCTTTAATCGACGAATTGGAAATAATATATAAAATACATATGCAGAAAAGTCATATATGCGTTATCAAATCTTCACAGATTCATCGAATAAACAAATATAAGAGCGAGAATATTTTCCAAAACATAACCTATTTTGTCACTCTCAAATAATAAAAAAAAAAAATTTTAATCAACAATTAATTGTATCAAATTATTATTTATGTGAATTAAATGGTTAAATACTTTAATTATTTAATTTAGATTAATAATTATATTAATCAAAAATTACTAAAAACTTAAAAAAAAAATTTACAACCGTAAATAAAAGGGAAAATCAACTAATTTTGTTTTAAAAAAAAAATAAAAAAGAAATAACATTTGCATTCAAATTCAGGAATGTTCTGTTAGAGTTAGATAAAATTCTTGAAATTGTTTTCAAATAAATAGATAACTGTTCATTCCAACGAATTGCCTTTGGCTAAAACCGATCATATTTTAACCACAATAAGCAACTCATGAATTCAATTTAGTTTCGTACGTCAAAAATAAACACAAACAGAAATGTTTTCTGTCAAATTGACCTAACCTAAAATTTTCTATTTATATAGAAAAGAATTCAACTTACAGTATACACCAACTCCTCTAATTATTATAAACATATTTCCCTTATTTATTTCCTTTGACAAGTTGTGTATAGTTTCTTTCCTTTTCCTTCTTCTCTGAAAAATATCTGTAACAGAATAAATTAATGGAACACTAACAGATATTGAGTATTTTCTACAGATGCTCCAGAACACTCTACACTCCCGGAGCATTTTATTGTCCAATCACCTATTAATTCCATTGGATCCATTCAGTTACAAAATGCTCCAGAGCACTCCCGGAGCATTTGTAGAAAACATCTTATATTATTTGTCAAATATAAACATAAACAATGTAGTAAAATAATTTAAAAATTACTTTTAACAATTAAAACAAAAAATTACTTATATTAACAATTAATTCTGAAAAAAGAAATAAAAAATTTTTAATTGAAAAAATTAAATTATTTTTTTTACAAAGAAAAATATTTTTTCTCCACATTTAATTAATTAGAAAACACTCCTTTAATAAAATAATTTAGAAAAATATAATTACATTAGTAATTATATAGAAATTACGAAAAACTGTTATGCACTGCTGATATAAGTTTTTAATTTTTCTATAATAGTAAAATGTTACTTTGTATTTGCCTAAATTTTGTTTTATAGACAAATATAAACCTTATCAGTTTTAATTTCTAACAAAAAAAAACTAATTTAATTAAAATATGATTACTAACTGGTACAAAGGAATATATAATACTAGCATTATATAGTATTTCTGTAGTAATATAACCTGAAATGCGATTTATTACCTGAAAATATCACATAATGTCTTTTTTAAACAATAATGTTCAGTCCCAACACAAACAAAATCTAAAAAAAAAATATTTTTCAAGCAGCGCAGATCTTATGTCTTGAAGAGTTTACTGCTCACTGAAGTGGTGGGAGAAAACGACCCATATTTATAGACTTGGGTTGGCATCAGGAGCGTCAGCCAATCAACGCTAACCGCAGTGAATGCCCGGTCCAATCGGCGCACGGCAGACCAAGCGGCAGACAGAGCTCGGTGTATAAAATAAAATTTCTCCACCGCGCACGGTCAGTTCCATCTTGGACGTCTTCAAGGCAGGATCTGTGTCGCTTCAACAAATTTTTTTCCAATGATTTTTTTGTATTGCAAGCAATCATTTCCTTCACTTTTTTGCAGTAGAAGAGGAGAATTGAAGAATATTACTAAATAGAGTAAGATGAATAATTTTTTTTATTTTTTTAATTTAAAACATATTATTATATAGGTACTGTGTATAATATAATAAACTTAATTAAATAGGTAAATTAAAATTAGTTTGATTTAGGATTAAGAAATATTGGTTAACTTTAAATGAATACACAATAAAAAATAAATTACTGAGGCTATATATTCCTGCTAGGAATTATCATAGAAGTTTAAAATGATTAAGTGATAAGAAATTATAATTAGATACAACATTAAATTATATTTAATCTTGTTATATCGTTTTTTACTATTCTTTCTCTTGTAGAAAAAAGAACTAGATAAGAAGCTCTTTGATTGGCTGGAAGAAATAATCCAAGCAATCGAAAATCGACTTAACCTGCAGTTAACTTCGCATCACTTGACGACTGGCAGTTACCATTGTATCATTCATGGAAGAAAATATCAACTTGAAATAGTGATTATTAATATATAAAATTCCAATTTTTAACTGTGAAATCATTAAAAATATTCATCATAAATTCTAATGTTTATCAAATACAAAATGGCGGAAGTTTATACAGTTTACTTGAATCTCTCATACGAAAGAAAAACTTCACGAAAAAAATTTTACCTCCATTACATTCTGCGTTGAAGAAAACAAATAAATGCCAACATTTTCTACAATTCTGACTATAATTATTATTGGTGAGTACTAATAATAATACTAATGTTGTCAAAATTTCACTTTTAATAAATAAATAAACTATAGTATATACCCCGTCGTAATAATGATAATAGTTACAATGTTGACAATAATGTCAATGCACGGGATTGCACTTACCGAAACCCAAATCGAATTGTGGTTAGTTTACGGTAGGTTTAGTTAATCGTATAAAGAAAAATAATCAATTTCGGTAAAAAGAAGTAAAGAGTAATAATCTGAATTAAAAGTAAATTCCAACTGTAGACATAACCTAAAAGACTATTATAAAAAAAATTAATTTTTTACTTCAATGTTAAATGCAATACAATAATGTTTCTTGTCATATCACAAAACCCACAATGCTATCATCAAAATTATATTATAATTGTAGAAAAAAAAAATTATCTTTTACTGACAAATTGTGATAATTTTGTCATTTACATTAAAATTATATATTTAATAACTGAATAATTGTGGAATAATTATTGTTGAACGAAATATCATTTTTTTTTTTTTTTGCAGCTGATGGGAATAAATTTCGAATTAAGGAAATTAGAATGTTATTTACCACAAAACATTTTTGGAGGTTAAGAATAATATTTCAAGTATTTTGATGAGTTAGTATTATTATTTTATTACAATTACAAACAATATATAGATACAATGGAAGTTAATAATGTACTTTCAAAATAATATTTCAGTAATAATGGTTATGCTTGCAGGTTTATTGCTTTTGGAGAGTATTAGATGCTTGAAGATTTACATAATCAAAAATTGAATCCAACAAAAAAGGAAATGCCTTGAGGATTGTGAATATTTTTCGGTGAGTTTAAACAATAGAAAATTTATTGCTTCTTTATTTAATTTTTGAATGGGTTGTAATATATATATATATAAAAAAAACTAATAATAGTAAAAATAATACTAACTATAATAATAACAATAATATAATAAAGAGAGTGTATCGCTTCAGAAATAGAGAGTCATGGAGAGTGTTTTACACGTTTTGAGAAAATATAGAAATTGTATTAGACAGAGTATATATATATGTAGAGAGAGGGAGAAAGGAGCAACAACATGAACGCAAGCTCGTTACAAGTGCCTCGTTACTGGCCAAGGGAATTCTCTCTCTCTCTCTCCTCTTTACGAAAGGACATGAACTCAAACTCACACACATCGTCTCCATTTACACTCTTCACACATCTATATACATGAACGGGAAAACTTTACTGGTTTACAACGACCCCTTGAGATCATTTTCATGGGAGCAAATTTCCGGATAACATCCATTTTCACATCTATCGCTTGTCCCCCTATTTGATATTAAAGCAGTGGCTAAATCTAATGGATATATAATGGACGTTTTGAAGGGGGTTGAAGATTCCACCGTACGATATTGCCCTTTCTCTCTCTCTCTCTCTTGCTCTTTCTCTTCAGGTGTGCAACTTCCGTGCGGTATTTGTGATTCAGAGGCATGTGTGCGTGATTGGAGGCAACGTGATTTGAATGTGTGTCGGTGGCGCATTGATGGTGCGCGCTCAATGTGTATGCGGGGGGCGCATAGTCGGCTTTCAAGTCCGTGGTACTGAAGGGGCTAACGCCCAGCTGCTCTCGTCAGTTCGCGAAAGCACGCGGATCTTATCGTTGGGAATCACTATTCAACACACAGAGAGAGGAGCATCCCTTTTATTCGAAACATAGAGAGCCTCCCGCTCTATTGGCGGCGACGAGACGCGCTCGTGAACTCTTGTTCGTACTCGCGCTGTTCTCTTTCTTTCGCTCAATTTTCTCTTCTCTCTTATTTCTCGGCGCCTCTTTTTTTTCTCTATTTAAAGTCAAAACTTTTTTTTTTTTTTTTGGTGCTGACCTTTACCACTGTTGTTTTTATATTACAGAAAAAAAAAGGATTCTTGTCATCGTTTTGTTTAATTTACTCAATGACACATTCAACGATCTCGAGAGACCCTTTATTGTCCCAAGGGGGTCATAAGTCGTCGACTAGAGTTTACGAAACGCTTATCACATCCCAACTGTGACGGATTAACGGCTATCGTGACGAGTATATATAGATATATATTCGCCTCACGACAAAATGCGGTTCAACGATCGAATTGGAATCACCGTTCATGCATCGACGGCTCCAACTTTTTAATGATCTACTCCTCGTTATCATGCGTCAATTTCTTCCTCAACGATCCTGTGAAATGTGAGTACATTTATTATTTTAGATATTTATTATTATTTTTTGTTTCTTCATTAATAAGATGAAAATTTTTTTTGAATATGCAAGAAGAAAAAAAGGACTTGTTTTGTTTTTAAGAAAACAAATAATTCTTTTTTTTTGTTTTACTGGAACAAATCTTCATTTATGAAAGAATTTGACTTTTTTATGATTCCTGTTTTGTTTAACGAAAGAAATTCTTTTTTTTTGTGTTTTACTTGAAACAAATCTCGATTTAAATTTTCGGTAATTATGCCGAATATAATTTATTTATGATAATATACGGTCGCGTATAAATATTGAATAAAGCCCTAATTATGAATTTTATTTAATTCAAACAAATATTTTTGTATTAAATAAGTTTTTTTTTATTGAAACAATTGTTTTATATTGGAAAAAAATATATTTTATTCAAACAGTTGATTAATTAACTCTTATGAAATATTCATAAATAATTTGATAATAATAAGTGTTAATAATAATATTAATATAATAATAATATAATAATAATAATATTAGTATTATATTAATATTATATTTAATAATAATTAGTAGTAATAAAAAATAATTATTATTTGAATCAACTAAATTGTATTTATTTCAAACAAAGAAATTATTGGATTAAATGCACTTTTATTTGATTCAAATAAAAATAATTTGGTTCAAGAAAATATTTATTTCATAATAGTCATCGATTATTATTTTTTGAATCAAATAAATTTCTTTTTTCATTGTAAGTAAATTTTTGTTTCATTGAAACAAATTTTTTGAAATAAATTTTGTTCTATTAAAACAATATTATTTTTGATAATTAAAAATTGATTCTTCAACTATTTTTTTTTAATATTATAAAAAAATAAATAATTTAAATTATCAGTATAGAATATAAAAATAAATATTATTGCGGTTTCAGTTATATAAAACAATATTTGTTTAACTGAAATAAACAATTATATTTGTTTTGATTGAACAAAATTTATTTGATATATAAACACGCTAACAAATAGTCGTTCGGACAAATATTTTTCTACGTATTTTTCAAAAGAGAGCAAGTTTAATTTGTTGATTGAATAGTGACGACCTAAATTAAAAATTAATAATCGTTTTTGAATCAAAAATTTAATACTTGATCAATTTTACAATAGTGACAAATTAATAGTTTGTTCTTTTTTTTCTAAATTAAAAACTGAAACTACATTTTTGTATTAAATTTTAGATATATATATATATATTTTTTTTTTATTAAATTCAATATTAATGTTTCGAATAGTCTCGAGGGTCTCGTATTTTTTTTTCGATTGATAGTATTTCAATTTACTTATATACAATATTTTTCTCGTAAACCGTGGAATATTTAACGGACAACAATATTTTATAGATATAAAAATGAAAGAAATATGTTTATAAACATTTAAAATTTTGTTTCTTTCTTTCAAGAGAAACAAAATTTATATAAATCAAAATCAATCAATATTTTGCATTATTAATTAATTAATTAATAATAAATTAACAGTTCATTAGGAAGCGCGTGTCATTTTTGAAATACAAATATGCAGAATTATAATAATAATAATATTATTAATAATAATAATAGTAATAATAATAATAATAATATCATTAATAATACTCACTATAACGCTTGAAATAATAATTATCAATAATTTATTCATCAATGCCACTGTATGGTTAATTTTCGATTTACATACAAAAAGTTTCATTAAATGAGAATATTGTTTCACCAAATCTACATTTGTGAAACAGCGGTTTTAATAAAATTTCCAACACTATTTTTCCAATTTAGTATTTTTCATGTTGGACGAAATTCTCTCGGGAACACGTTTTCTCTGCATTGAAAGGTAGTACATTAAATATTGAAAACTTCGATTTTTCATAGTAGATATATAAGATTTTTTTAGGAAGTTTTTTTTTGTTATTTCTACATGTATCAAGAATTTTATTCTTTGCTCTTTCGGGATTTGGATATAATATTTAAAATTGATTAATTTAAATGTAAAAACAAATAAGCTATACACTGATTAAAATATAGTTAAATTTTCTACTTAATTTTTTTGTTTTTTTTGTTGTAAATGGAAATTCTGTTAAATAAAAATTGTAATAGAGAATTCTAATAAAAAATCGGTAAAGTAAAAATTGTTCGTTATAAAAATTCGATTTGAAAATTCAGCTTTATTTGGTTAAATAAAAATTCTTTGGTATATTTTGGCATTTTTTAGTTAGACTTAATGTGTCGTGAAAATGGTCTAATTGGCATTTTTAATGAAATTAAAAGTCCACGGTTCGCATGAAAAACGCACACAAAACGAATTGCTATAATTTGACGCCACAGAAATTGTCTAGTAGTTTTTTAATTGCTGTTAAAGTCATTAAATATTTTTTTTCAAAGCTCTTTAAATTGCTTTATATATATATATATATGCCTCTGTGTAAATAATTTATTTTATTAATTGTTGTTAATATTATTGATAACTGAATTTTTAAAATGCAAATTTGAGAAAAAAAGAATTATTTTCAATTGAGTCAAACTTGTCGCGCATTGTTTGTAATTTTGAATTGTTTACATAATATTTGATTCAATCCAAGAGAAATCAACTCTCTGGTATATACCTTTATTTCGCGTGTTTACTTTCATTTAAAAACTTGCAATGAAATACACCATTCTTGTGAAAATACTTTCAATGTTTGTGAGTCGTATTGTTAAATCTATTTTTTTTTTTGTGTCGAGGTCAATAACCGAACAAAGAATTTAATTTGTCCTCCCTTTCAAAGCATTTATTTTACATATTTTTTTAAATATATTATGATATTATTCTTACTCTCTTTTTTTTAATTAAAAATTTTTGTTATAAAATAATAATTATTTTAATTACAATAACGATAATAAAATAATAATAATAATAATAATAATAATAATAATAGTAACAATTTTAAAGAATTCACTTGACATTTTTATTATTTAAAAAAAAATGTTTATTTTGATACAAAGTTAATTGCTTTCGAGTATATCAAGTATGGGACTAATTAAAATGAAAGATTGAAATAATTATTTTACAATAACATATATAGAAAAAAGTGGTTTTTTAGCCAAAGTGAGACTTGCCTTTAATTAAAATTTGCTGGGTATGAAAATATAAAAATGAAAATAAAAAAAAAACCTCAGACAACCCTCATGGGATTTAACCCACTTTACTGTCGTGAATTTTTTTTCTCCGTTAAGTGACAAAGGTCAACATGTTATTTAATCAGACTGCGATGTAAATAAAAAAAAAATGAAAGACACGCAATGTGAGGTAAAAATCTTTTTTTTTTCTTCTCAAATTCAGTTAGTTAATTTACTTCAATTTTTTTTAATCATAAAGAAAAAATAAAAATAGTATAAATTAGTATAAATAATAAATTTAATTGCTCGAAATCTTTAATTAAAATATAAACATTAATAATAACGTGTATTATAGGAGAACAAGAATCTAATTATTCCATGATTAATTAATTTCACTGTTGATTTAGTATCAGTGTAACGTCGAATTACAGATTTTGTTAAATTGCGCCAAGGCCGTGAAATCAGTATTTACATTACGCGAAAATAGAAATCTAATTCCCTGAGTAAATATATAGATGTAAGTTAATTTTCTATATTGCGCGGTTTGAAGCGAGAAAATTATTTTCTTATAAAAAAAATGTTAAACATACTGCAGTAAAAAATTTATAGAATTAAATAATAAAAAAATTCTAATCAACGGAATATTTTTTTTTTTGTTTTCATTTGCGCGTTAAAACAATTTTCTTAATCAACATCTAATTCTGACCATGATTTTTATTCCTCATTTTATTCAGAGTTTTTTTTTTTACTCGCGCCACAACGTTTCTTCGTAAGTCTTTTGCCACGTCATCCGTGTAAAGATGATAAGGTAAAGAACTTTTTTTTTCAACACTTTTGTGGGAAAGAGCTTTCATCCCACAAAAAAGAAAAGTTAACTAAAAATCAACTCTAGATCTCAATTATGTATTCCTTTCACGCAAAATTTTGGTCAACTTCTCCGTAAATTTATATATACATTTTCTTCTGCATTATTTTTGTTTTTTTTTTTTTTTTGATCCATTTATCATATATAATATTTATTTATCTAACAGAAAGTTGATTAAACAAATTTTTTTCCGCAGAAAATATTCTAAAATAATTTATTTATAGTTTATAAATGAAAAATAATTTTATTTACTCGCGAATTAAATTAAAGTTAAATTTATAAAACATTGTATTAAAAATTGAAATTAAAAACTAAAATAATAAACTTCAATTAAATAAATTAAAACTAAAATAGAACAGAATTTATTCACTAATGATTTGTTTTATACATTGAAGAATGTCTTTATTATTAAATTTATTTAACTCAGTTTATTTAACAAAAACTGAAATAATTAAATTTAATTAAATAAATTTAAATTTATATTTAAAACTAAAATTGGACAATTCAGTCAGAAGTTGCGACTTATAAAAATTGAATGAAAATTTATAAATAAAAAATGAAATATTAAATGGAATGAATAAAAAAAAAATTAGTAAAGTGAAATTAACAATTTATAAATTTTAATAATTTATATAATATTATATAAATATAATGGAATATTTATTGAATAAACGTTTATAACATACCGGATTTCTAGGAGCATATAATCGTATATACCGTACGTTACTTGCAATTTCGAGACGATCTGTATTCGCATTAAAGAGGAATTCGAGAAATTCCCATTCATTAACATACGTATACCTATTATAGAATTAATACCCTTTAGCTTGTGGCAGGCTATGAATGTCCTTCTTGTTTCAGATTCCAAATCACTAGCTATAAATCTTAAGCTGTGAACTTACCTTCAAATAAACAATTTCCACCCTCCGGGGTATCAAATAACTCTCTGTTTATCTCTGAATTTCATCTTATTAAACTGCGAAATTTTAACAATTTTTATCA